TCAAAGCTTATCTTTTTGGTAAAGCTCTCTCGTTTTGCTAAGGCTTTTATTTTGCGTAATGTTTTTATTCTAGATTTTCTTTTTAAGATTTTATTTTGGGGGTGCCAGGGTGCCTCTGTCAGTTGAGCATCCAGCTTAGGTCATGATTCCAGGGTTATGGGATCAAGCCTGTGTTAGTCTCCATGCTGAGCGTGGAGCCTGCTTGGGATTCTGTCTCTCCCTCTTGCGCGCTCTCTCTCTCTCTCTCTCTCTCTCTCTCAAGACAAAACAAAACAAAACAAAGATTTTATTTTTAAGTAATCACTACACCTAATGTGGGGCTTGAGCTCAACCCCGAGGTCAAGAGCCACAGGCTCTTTCTGTTGAACCAGCCAAGTGACCCTGGATTTTTCTTAATATATTATTTCAAATTTGAGAAAGAATTCTCTGTGCTATTTTTGTGGGTTTTTAAAAATATTTATCTTGAGAGAGGGTGGGGGGGGAGCGGGAGAGAGAAAAGAAAAGAGAATCCCAAGCAGGCTCCACACTGTCATTGCAGAGCCCCATGCAGGGCTGGATCTCACCAACAGTGAGATCATGACCAGAGACGAAATCAGGAGTCTGATGCTTAAAGGCCTGAGCCACCCAGGCACCCCTATTTTTGTGTTTTAACTAGAAATCTTCAGTGAGAAAAGGACTTAGCCTGTAAATGAGGACACAAACTTGGCTTCTAGGACCCTAATTTCTTTTAATGAATTGCTAAAAGTACCTAATAGAAACTTGAAGCTTTTGAGGAGCTCAATTTGAAAACTAAGATTTATTAGACTTAACTGTTTCTGAAGTTTAAACTAAAATTAACACAGGCAGATTTAATTTCTGTTTTATAAGAATTGACAACATTTAATGTCAACTGTACTTCAATGATAAAAAAAATTTTTAATTGACAGTGTTAAAAATTACCTAAAACAGCCCCTTCTATAACATTGCTAATAATTAAGAATAGAAACCGTGAATTTAACTTACACTAAGCATCAGACTTTAAGAAAACAGACTTTGCTGGAAGAAATAGTTTTCTGTACCATTTAGTGTTTACAAAATAGTGTGTGAAACTCTGGATTCTTTGCTAGGTAGTTCTTCTTACAGAATGCACTGTCACGTCTCTGGCTACCCATAGCATCTGACTTCAGTAGCATGCACCAGAGTAAAAAGTCTAACATACTGTGTTTTCCTTGGTAGATAGGTGAATTTCAAATAGTAATTTGCTTGTGTGACTGTATGATTTGATTGAAGTTACTGCCACTTTGCATAATATCTACTTTGTAGAAGGATTCCCAGTCTTGAACACTATAGGTAGATCATTCTATGCTTAAATTCTCATATATACACATGTATATATATACACATAAATATATACATACATATACATATATATATAGTGGGAAAAGATTGAAGGAAGCACAGATGTTAACAGTGATTTTCTTAACCTTGTTTTCCTAAGGTTATGCTGTGTCAGTAGCAGAGATGAAAATAAATTCTAGGAATCTTGACAAAGTTCTTTTTCTAGCAGGTTTTTTGTGATTTTCATGTGTGTATTTAACTGTATTTGTTAAAACTTCATCCTTCATTATGAGGCTAGATTAACTATTTCCTGGTTGGCTTCCTAATAATTCCAATAATAGGTGTTAAATTGTGTGTTCTCTTAAACCATTATCCCTTTCAGTCAGATAAATTTAATATATCCAGATGCTATACAGATATAGTATTCTTATTAACCCTATTCTCTAATATTAGAGCTTTATATCTTAGTGCATATATCTTCTGCTGGCAGCTCTGAGAGTTAAGCTTCCATAGTATGGAATTTACTCTGTAATTGTTAAAATTACCTCTTACTGGTACCGCCTCAGTTAAGTCATCATATCAGGTAATAGCAAGCAATGTATTTAAGTTTATTTATTTATTTTGAGAGAGAGCGTGCACGGGAGAGAGGCAGAAAGAGAAAAAGAGAGATTCCCAAGCAGGCTCTGCCTTGTCAGCACAGACCCTGATGTGAGGCTCGATCCCACAAACCGTGCATAAGATCATGACTTAAGCCAAAATCAAGAGTTGGATGCTTAACCGACTAAGCCACTTAGCCGCCCCCAAAGTAGTATTTTTATTTCAGGGCTTCACAAGGAGGATCAACTTCTGGTATCAACCTCTTCAATGTTTATAAATTGCTTAAAATGTTAGATTATAATAACTGGTGGTTGCCTCTAAAGAGTAAAAAAAAATAAATAATTTTTTTCAATTTTTTAGTCTCTACTTTTCCCTATGATTTGAAATACTCTTTCCATAATTATATATTTAAATTAGTCTGATTTGTTACTTTTCATTGCCTTAGAAAGTACATAATTGGTACATTTTATGGCTCAAAATTGCAGCTAACACTGATTCATAATTCAAGTTTAACTATTTGTTTACATTTTCTGAAATTTTTACATGTGAATTTGACAGCATGTCATTTGCAAATAAAAGCAGTTTTCAGGAGCTTGCTTTTTTTTTTAAACTGTGCAATTTGAGATACATTTGAAAAAATGAATAAAATTATTTTTGTTTCATATAAAGAAATGGATGAAAAGAGGCTGCTGGATCCAGGGTTGAAAGTTCGTAAAGGCCTCTGGGATTACACTCTGAAGAACCAGCAGATGGAATGCCTGAGTGACTGAAGAAAATGGGTGCTAATGCATCTAACTATCCTCATTCATGTTCCCCGAGGGTAGGGGGAAATCCTCAAGCCCAACAGACTTTTATAGGTAATGGTTTCAGTTTTTCTGATTTCATTTTCTTTTGTGAATATAAATAGAATTGTGTCTTCATTGGTCTTTTTGGATGAAAAGAGAATTGAATTGTGAAGAAGTTATTATAGATAATGATTCTGTAGCATCCAGATTTTTCCCCCAACAAATGTGAATCTGGCTTGTATGATTTTTATCCTAACCAAGCTGCTGTAGCACCATTGATCTTTTCTTTGGTGTCTTAACCATAATTGCCATCTGCCCCCAGAAAGCTAGCAATCTCCACTGTTGTGAAAATAATGAAATACATGCTTCTTGTGTCCTGGTCCATTTATTTTCCCCAGTGCAAAGCAGCCTTGATGTAGTTAAGGAAAAAAAAAAAAAAAAAAAAGACATTTCACAATTATATGTAAGTAGTATTCTGAATTTACAAATCCAGTTAACTCTCATTTCCTAAAATTCCATCATTAAAATCTATGATATTTGGGTTTTGATAGCCAGAGAACCAAAAGCATGTTTTCAAGTAAAGAATAATCTGCTCTGTTAGTCTCTGTTCCTTATTTAATATGAAAATGAATGATTTGATCTTTTAAATTTCTTTATAGAAACAAAAGTCAACTTCATTTGAATGGTTCAGGAATGTCTTCTCTAAAAATTTCTAGCGTGAAATATGTGTTAAAATGAATATTGAAAATGAATGTTAAGAACAAAGAAATACATTTTCATTTGTTTGATTTCCTTTTTAGGAACATCATCCTATTCTCAGCAAGGCTATGGTTGTGAATCGAAATTATATAGCCTTGACCATGGCCATGAGAAACCACAAGACAAAAAAAAGAGAACCTCTGGCCTTGCCACCCTCAAAAAGAAGTTTATTAAGCGTCGAAAATCTAATAGGTCTGCCGATCATGCCAAGCAGATGCGAGAACTCCTCTCTGGGTGGGATGTTAGAGATGTTAATGCTTTAGTGGAGGAATATGAGGGAACTTCAGCCTTAAAGGAGCTTTCTCTACAAGCCAGTTTGGCTAGACCAGAAGCTCGGACATTACAGAAAGATATGGCCGATCTTTATGAGTACAAGTATTGTACTGATGTAGACTTAATATTTCAAGAAACTTGTTTTCCTGTTCATCGTGCCATTTTGGCAGCAAGGTGTCCATTTTTTAAAACGCTGCTTTCTTCTTCACCAGAGTATGGGGCAGAGATCATTATGGACATCAGTACGGCTGGTATAGATATGCCCATGTTTTCTGCTTTGCTACACTACCTTTATACAGGAGAGTTTGGAATGGAGGACTCAAGGTTTCAAAATGTTGATATTCTCGTCCAGCTTAGTGAAGAATTTGGAACACCAAATTCCCTTGATGTAGATATGCGTGGACTTTTTGATTACATGTGTTATTATGATGTCGTCCTTAGTTTTTCTTCAGACTCTGAACTGGTTGAAGCTTTTGGTGGAAATCAGAGCTGTTTAGATGAAGAGCTCAAAGCTCACAAGGCTATTATTTCAGCACGGTCCCCATTTTTTCGGAATTTATTACAAAGGAGGATACGGACTGGTGAAGAAATCACAGACCGAACTTTGAGGACTCCCACAAGAATTATATTAGACGAGTCCATTATACCCAAAAAGTATGCGAAAGTTATATTACACTGTATGTATACTGATGTGGTGGACCTCTCCGGTTTGCACTGTAGCCCCTCTGTGGGGAGTCTCAGTGAAGTTCAGGCTCTCGTCGCAGGGAAGCCAAACATGACCAGGGCAGAAGAAGCCATGGAACTTTACCACATAGCACTGTTCTTGGAATTTAACATGCTTGCACAAGGTAAGAAATTCTAATTTTTAATTTTGATTTCTAGAATTAACATATTTGTCTTCCACATTGAAAACACAGCCAGTATGTTCTATGATTTCACTGTTTGGGATATGAGGGGGTCAGTTTTTTCAAATATAGTTATGAAATTTGAGAAAGAATCGAAGGTTAGTATTAATGTGGCTGTTCATTTAGTGTTAAAACCAAGCATTCAAAACTAGTGACTAAGAGCAATAGATGAGACGTGAGGCTCTTTTTCCCTAATGTAAGACAATAGGTGTGGGAACGTATAATAACCACCTGCACTCCATCCACACCCAAGCTTTGAACTAGCCTCGTTTCCCAGATTTCATGGTTATTCTTGATCTAGGACTTCTTGGGTAACTTAGATTCTCATATTTATACTAAGTTATTGATGCCTAAATGTTTAGAAGAATGAATATTTATTCCAAAAATGAAGATACTCACATTTGGATACAATGTGTTTGAATCAAAGAATTAGGCAAGGTTGTTTTTTTTTTTAATTTTTAAATATTCTGTATCTTCTTTTCAAGCTCAACTTGTACATCAAGCAACAGCCTACTGTGTGTAAGGTCAGTGCTAGACTCCTGTGCCTTCTTCATTAATTTAAACCTTTTAGGTTAGGATGGCACATTTTTTTGTTATAGGCAAATGAATACATGAAAGTAACATTAAAGAATTATAGATCCATTGGTAAACATTAGAATCTTAAAATTTCAGAGCTAGAAATCAGCCTTCCACACACAGCAAAGAGAATTTGCTGTCTTGAAAAGATGCATTCTTTGCTTTCTGTGACCATATATTAAAACAAGTTATATGACATGAAATTACTTGAGAAATTCAGCTAATGAGTATTTGCTAAAAGAACATTAGAAGTTACCAATTAGACGAAAATGTTAATGGCTGGGGTAAAACACAGGAATTTAATGAAATAAGGAATAATGAAAGCTATGCACATTTTTCTAACTTGAAAATAAAATGTGTGTTGTGTGGCTCAATCAACAAATTAATGGGACTTAGAGAAATGAGATAAAAGCCTCAGTTAAACAACAGCAACAAATTAGTTAATACAATGAGAGGAATTATACAGAAGAAAGCATTGATAAACCTGAGTGAAAAAAGTTGAGATTTCTGCTACATAAAGAATCTTTTAAATTATCTTTTTAGCAATAGTACTAATTTAGTCTTATTACCACAATCAAAATCGTTAAAATATTTTGTTAATTTAAAATAATCATTAAGTTAATAATAGTAGGCTATTTTGATGTCAGGCTAGGAAAGTGTGTTCTCAAAAATAACCTAGCAGCTTGACCTACCACTATTTTATTCTGTAAAACCAAATTTGTCAGAAAATGCGTCTACAGAAAAATTTGAAGGTTGAAACATTATTCAAAAGATATAATAACCTTTATTTTCTCAAATTGGTTTTATTTTTTGACATGTTTAAATAATAAGAAACTGAAGTGTATTATATACGCTTTGCTGTTTTTAAAAAACAGGAAAGCTGGGCTCCTGGGTGGCTCAGTCCATTGAGCATCTGACTCTTGATTTCCACTCAGGTCATAATCTCATGGTTCATGAGATTGAGCCCCATGGCAGGTCAGCAAGGAGCCTGCTTGGGATTTTCTCTCTCCCTCTCTCTTTCTCTTTCTCTTTCTCTCTCTCTCCCCCCCGCGCCCCACCTCTGCCCCTACCCTGCTCACTGTCTCTCTCTCAAAATAAGTGCGCTTTAAAAATTTTTTTTGTAAATGGGAAAGCATCCCTTAATACAGGTTTTTGGGGGGGGGGGTAGTTAAGTTTTAAATGAAAAGTAAAATTATGAGCCAGCTCTTAGATCTTAGGTAGTACTTCATCTAAGGTTCTTTTATGTTAAGTGAGTTTAATTTTTTTTTAATCATTTAGCTAGAAATTGTATTTTTTAGTACACTTAAAGATATAAAACAACACTCCTTGTGCATGTCTTGGTTACTGTAAAAAAAAAATATATATATATGTATATATTCCCTTAAACCTGGGTGTCAGGTTTCCTGTTTCCTTTTGTTATGCATAATACAGAGTTGAGGTTATTTGGTGTTTTGGTTTTTGCACTCCTTGTAGGCATTATTTTTCTCCCATGCCCATGGTATTCAACCAATCCTATTAGTGCTTATAACAGACTATACCTTTAACACAGTTTTTACCTTATTTTTGTGGGAAGGAGAATATTTGGTTGCTTGGAGAGGAATTTTATACGATGAAGTTTAAGAGCTCAAGCTCTGGGACCAAACTGGATTTGAATCCTTTGCTATCATGTTTTAACTTGCTTGACCTCAGGGCAAGTCACCTGTCTAAGCCCCTATTTTCTCATTTATAAAATCAGAATAGTAACGTGTAAAGTAGCATTATAAGGATTAAAAATATATAATATTAAGTGATTTGACTGGCACCTGATACATAGTTAGCATTCAGTAAATATTAGCTGCTAAATACTATTCATCAGAACATATTTCATTCATTACCATGTTCTTTTCTAAAGCTTTATGTTTAAAAATAATTTTATAATTATATTAAACCTAATACTAATACTTTATAGATTTTTATTAGGTTATTACTGATTATAAGTTTTTCTTATAACTTTATCACTGGTGAGATGGGACATGCCACTTATCAAACTATTGTAAATGTCTGGCTGTTTGTCATTTTACAATTGGTTTTTCTCAGCAGGAGTTCTACAAGCAGATTAAGCCTGTGATACTCTGAGGCATCTATGGTATCTAATGAATTAGCATCTCTCAGATGCATCCAGCATGATTATATGATAGTTATGTACCATTTTGGAGAAAATTAAGAAAATAGTCACCCAAATCATCATCTGTGATCTGTGATTAAGACGAGGGCTTAACTTCCAGTTAAAAAACACTGTGAGACTAGCCTGTTGGGCAACTTGAGGGTTGGAGTGTACTGTTCTCATCCTTGTGTCCCCTATGCCTGGGACATGGTGGGCCTTCAGTAAATGACTTTAAATTAATGACGGTTACTTTTTATTCCAAATTAGATTTAACTTCAAAAGTTAAAGCCCAGTTTTAAAAGGAAACAAATTCTGTCAGGGGAGGCTAGGACCTTGAGACTAAATATGTCCTTCAAGATGGAGAGGTGATTTAATGGTTTCAAGAGCATCATAAAAAGAGGCAGTATAGGCAGACAGCCAGAGTGGTGTGGATAAAAGAGTAGGTTCCTGGCCTATACTGAGAATGTGTTTTATTCAGACAAATAGGCAGTCACTATTAGGGAGGTGGATTAACAGGTAATGCGGCCTCAAATTGGTGGCCTGGCATTTTAGGATTAGATTTAATTTCACCTGATATCCTACGTAGCAGATTAAACATAACTTTATCTCTGTCTCCTCCAAAGCCCTAATAGTAAAGAAGTAAAACAAATATAAACCCTCAGGACAAAGATACCTGAGAGGAAAACAACAGAGGAAAAAGGATATTGAAATTTTTGGAAGCTGGAAAGCAGATCATGAGTGATTATTGGCTTACCAGAGAGGAGAGGTCTGTAACTCTAGATCCTATAGAGAAGTCTACTGAGGATAAGGGAGGCATTTCACAGGGGCTACTTAGTACTCTAGAAAGAAGGGATAAGCGTGTGGAACTAAAAAGAGGTTTGATTTTAAGTCTGAATACTGAATGGATGAACCCTTTCCCCCCACCATGGAATTCACCTTTATAGGTGGCGTGTGTCAGAAAGGAATGGGGTTTTGTTTTACTTCATAAAGTGAGCTGGTTTGCTGAGTATGCTGTATTAAATAATCCATATTCTCTTCTGATTTGTGCGATCTTTTATTAAGTTCCCACATAAATATGGGTCAGTGCTTTCCATTTTGTCTCCATAGCCCATTTGTCTGTTTTTGCATCAGTATCACTTGTGCCAGATGACAAATCCTAACCTGCCCTTCAGTTCTCTTCTCTATCCCCACCCCTCCCCCCCACCAAACACAACAAACCTGAGATTTATTTTTTGAAGAAATTGAACTAGAGAGATCTCAGATCTGGAAATAGCTATGAAAGGAAGGGTGGGGGTGTGGGGTAAAGCACAAAGTTGAAATCTGAATTTATGTAAAAGCCTACAAACTAAATGTCAAAATCACTCCTCTTCCCTGCTCTAGTCCAAGCCAGGCAGATAAAAGATTAAAAAAACTGGAGCTCTGGCACAAAAACAGACACTCAGATCAATGGAACAGAATAGAGAACCCAGAAATGGACCCACAAACGTATGGCCAACGAATCTTTGACAAAGCAGGAAAGAATATCCAATGGAATAAAGACAGTCTCTTCAGCAAGTGGTGCTGGGAAAACTGGACAGCGACATGCAGAAGAATGAACCTGGACCACTTTCTTACCCCATACACAAAAATAAACTCAAAGTGGATGAAAGACCTAAATGTAAGAAAGGAAGCCATCAAAATCCTTGAGGAGAAAGCAGGC